TCTCTAGTAAGTAAGTAATGTTTATTTATATAGCGCATTTTGCAGACCAACGTCACCCAAAGCGCTTTACAATGTTCAGAGTCAGATATTGTTCCAATCATTCCACACACGGGGATGACGGAAGTGAGTCGCCGAACACACTGGACCATCCATTCACTCTCTCATTCACATTCATACCTATTGTGCATGTTTTTAGTGGTAGGTGAAACCGGAGCACCCAGAGGAAACCTATGCAGACACGGGGAGAACATGCAAACTCCACTCAGAAAGGCCTTGTTCCGGTCGGGATTCGAACCCAGGACCTTCTTGCTGAGAGTACTATCCACTCAGCCACCGTGCCGCCCTTCTCTCACCGAGGACATTCTCCATAAACCAAATAAAGCATTTCCACAGAACATTCTCCTGAAAGTGGGATTTCAAAGATGCATCTCAGTGCAATATTAGGAAGCAGATAATGTTCATTTGTCGTCTGTGACTCTCAGGGCGCTCTTCCAAGTCTGGAGAAGGAACGCAACAATAAATTCAACTTTTGGGTACGTGTGTTTGATGTGATGTTTTATCTTGTTTTGTAGGGTCCAATTTAATTAATCTGTTGTTTTGAAATGAGTCGTTTAAAATTCTGGACTTTAAACTTTCTCTAAACATATTGTATCCTATAAGTGTATTTCCAGTGTGACGGACGCTTCCCAAACTGTGAAATATAATGCAACTGCAATATTCACATAAATCCTGTTCTTTAGTTTCAAAAATTTAGCAAAAAAAAACAATGAAAAGATTTGAGAATTATGGCTTGAAATCATCTTGATCTTCCATGTCCTGTGCCCCCCGTGTTGAGAACCACTGCATTTGCACCGGTCCAGACCAGAGCGGAGAGGATTCATGGTCCAAACCAACTGGATCAGGTAAAAATCCACTGGAGGAATGCTGACTTTTTGAAAAATGCTAATAAAGTATTTAGCATTTTACTTTGGACTAGAGCAGAGAGAATGCTCCGAACCAAGCGGCTACTCCACCCTGTGACCTGTCCTGCTCCACCCAGAGGCTTCTCCACCTCTGCAGCAGTGACCTAAAGGGCTGATGCTGATTATTACTATTGTTAGCTTTTAGAATTATCAATTTTATTTTTCCTGCTATTGGACACCTGAATTTCTGCTACGGGGGTCAATAATGTATCTATTTATCTATTTTATTTATTTACTGTCATCCTGTTAGAAATCACAGCCTTTTTTGGTTTGATGAATGAATATCAAACTATGCATTAAGGATGAACCAATGTCTCAGACTGTTACTGTCATTCTTTGATAAACTCAAGGGTCTGAAAACAGTTTGTAAACGGTCATTTTTGGCTAATGTTAAACTTTGATCAATCGTCAAAAACATTTCAAAGTAGTGAGTTCATCAAAGCCTTTCTGAAGCAACATCCAAACCACATTTCTGAGGGATAATCTTACGGCCTTTTTTGTTTTATTGGCAAAATTACATTCACGGGCAGCGGTGGCCACAAAAGTACTGTGTGTTAAAAAAAAAAAACTTGATTTAAAACCAATGCAATATTATTATTTTTCCACTGAAGAAATTCAAATTTTCGTCTTTTAGCAACAGTCAGCAAAACCCCCTGATTTCCCCGCGACCCGCTCGGACCTGCCCTCGTCGGCGTGGACCCTCAGCCCGCCGCTCTCACTGTCAGATCTGCCGCCGCCGCTTCCATTTGTCCGTAATTTGATTGAGCTGTTATTGTGCATTTATTGGCACACACGGAAATGCTGTACGGTCACTTAAATGTAATGCAACGTTAATGGCTTTCACGAACCATGCATCGAGCCTCTGTTGCTAGGAAACTGGCAGTAAATTGAGTGAATTAGAAGGCCCGGCGCACTCAGACAGAAAGTGTGAGAGACAATGATACGATGTGGCAAGTGCGGGCGCCTGATATGCAGCGGGCGCCTGATATGCAGCAGCCACCGACACCGTGACGAGGCCCCGAGTCCTCCAGCATTTTGTCAAAGTTTAAGTGGAAGAAGCAGCGCCGACTCTCGTGATGTAAGTTACGATCGTTTTTAATGTGTTTGGATTAAGATTACTCGTCCCACAACAGGGAAAGAAGCTAGTCCAAAATCTCTGACTGACTGATCTTAAAGGAGCTAGAATTAATGTCACATCGGTGAAAAACAAGGAGACCCAAAATGCAAAACTGGGTTTAATAAAAAGTGTACAACATCAAAATCCAGCAAACACACAGAGACCGAGGACAAGAACAGAAACAGACGGGAAATGACAACGACCGAACAGGGAGTGAAGGAACGCACAGGGCTAAATACAAGACTAACGAGACACAGGTGATACACATGAGGGCGGGGCATGCAATCAGGAAACAGGAAGTACAACTAAAGAAGACACAGGGGTTTGACAATTCCAAAATAAAACAGGAAGTAAACCTAGACCAGGACAATAAAGGTATAGGAGGATTTTCCCAATTACAAGGAAAGAACCACCGTATCCTCTTTTTGAACACATCTCTCTGGTCTTGAGACTCACTGAAACTCTATCTTTCACATTTACATCTCAATACCTGGATTTTTACAAGCAACTTGACTGAGGGGATAAGCCTAATGTGAGAGGGTCACATTTGGTGGATCACTTTATGAGTAACTATATCTACTTGAAGCTTGGAACGGAAATATCCCTCATGGGGTCAACCACTTGGTAAAGGCTAATAATGTAAAAAAAACAAAAAAAAAAAACATGTAGGGGTTCAAGAGAAATAAAAGAAAACACATAACAATGAAATATATGTGTTATTAGTGCTAGAAAATAAAACATAAAAAGGAAAAAATACATTGCTTTCTTCAAGGAATGAACATTAAAGGGTTAAGGCAGTCAAAATGTGCTCAAACTAAAATACATTTTGCCAAATTTGAGCATTTTTTGACTTATTTTCATAACTTTTTTGCAGTGCAGTATCTGGATCTAATCAGACTTCACATCCGCTGGACTTCTCTGTGCTTTGATGCGTCCTCTCTCTCCCTCTTCCTCTCTCTCTCTCTCTCTCTCTCCCTCTATCTCTCCCTCACCCCCCTCTCTCTCTCTGTTTGCTGGAGTTACAGTGAGGCGGGTGAGGCGGCTGTGTGCTGCAGCAGTGATGTGATGTGACAGGTCAATCAATAGCTGGGAGATGTAGTGCTGCTTCTGCTTTGTGGCGCCCGCTGTGCTAAAAGAGAACAAGTGCAGGGTCAGTGCACGTAGCCGCCCGAAAACACGCGGCGCATGCTAACTCCTGCCTTTCAATGTGATTTGTTCAATGGGGGACAAAGGTGAGCGAAGATTGAAACTGTCTCTAAAGTCGCGAAGAATATAGCAGTTTGAAGACTGCTGTTGGAAATGGAGGAGAGTGGCTGTTTTTGTGTTTCGTCCTCGTACGGATTCATGGAAAGCTCAGATCTTATTCTTCTTGATGAGAATGTTTTGTGTGAGACGTGTCAGAGGAGAAGTTTTCACACAGGGACTCATGGTCCACGGAGCTCGAGGAGTTTACTGCTGCATGCGAGTGAATAAGAGGCAAAACTCTGTCTGTGAGCACTTCATTGAGTCCGATCCAATCCATTTTATTTTTTATAGCACATTTGATAACGAAAGCTGTTTCCAAAGTGCTGCACTTGGAGATACATCAAAACAAGATTTGCCAATGGGAAAAAGGGGCGCCCAAACTTTTCAGTAAGAAAGCTGCTTTAGTTTATCAGACTTGACCTGGGGCCGACAACCTGGATTTAAAAAACTGGATTTGAGCTGGATTTTATGTGAAATGTTGTGACATAATCATAAAACAAATGTCTGTATATAACAATAGGTCAACAAGTGTCAAAGTGCCTCAATGGCGACTTTGTGTTAGCAGCAGAGGGCCACATAAAATACCACAGAGGGCCGCAATTGGCTCGCGGGCCTGAGTTTGGAGACGCAAGAAATATCTCCCTTGGAATGAGAAAATAACAGTTGTTGAGATGAAACTAAATGGCTTTGTCCCGTTGGAAGATTTGCCAAAAATGCGACAAGTTAGGTTTTTAAGTCAGAATCTACACAAATTAAGAAAAAAACACTTGATTTATGCATTTATTACCTCATATTGGATCCGTTTTTGCAGTTTGTACGTTCTGTTATGAAAGTACAGCTAATACGCTTTGTGTGTCTGGCTTTATCGTGGCGTGTGGAGGAAAACAACAGAAGAAACCAAAACACAAGACCGCAATTAAAAGTGTAACTTCATAAAACACAATAGAATCCAGGATAATAACAGGTACGCAAAAATCTAAAAATAGGAAAGAGGTCCCAGGTTCGAGTCCACCTCCGGGCCTTTCTGTCTGGACTTTGCATGTTCTTCCTGCGTCTGCGTAGGTTTCCTCTGAGTGCGCCGGTTTCTATACCACTAAAAACATGTACAATAGGTCCAACATGCGCCCCCTGTTGGCGACCCCACATCCATCTCTGTGAGAGAACAAACGGCCACAAAATTACTTACTTACTTTAAACGCACAAACAAATGAAATGTATATGCAAAAACCGAGTGCCATGGAAACATTTCGGAAAAGCTCAAAGTTTTTCCTTTACCAAGTAGTTTTGTGAAAGGCCAGATCTATTTTAGTGCCATACAGATAAAATTTCACCCCTTCTTGCGCAAATTACTTCAAATGTACTGCCATTAACAGAAAATGTTGAAGTTTGTAACTGGAGGAATGAAATATTTGGACAACATTTCAAAACGGAGGCATCTGTTTTGGCATATGAACTCTTCAAATGTTACCAGCAAAATTTGCCCGTTTTACCTTTTTCTTGCTCAAAAAAACATATTTTTATGGAACGCATTGAAAAAGTGATGCTCAATTGCACCCTTGAAACTTATTTAAACATGAATTAGCTGTATATCTATTTTATATGGGATGGCTTTTCTCTTCTCGCAGATTAACTCCGTGGATGAAAGTGCAAATGGTGGAATTGCAGTAATATATTAATCACAAGTCGTTACCGTCATTAATGAAGAAGCCTTGATTAGCTGTATCTGCGTGCACGCTCTTCTCACTCCCACACAGGTGACTCCTCTGGGGGCGGCTCCGAGTGCAGCTGGAGTGGACGGCTTTGAGAACATGAAGGACGTTCTGTAGGAGGAGCTCAGACTCAGGCTCAATGCACAAATTGTGAGAGGAGAAAAGGTTCTAAACACTCTCTGCTTCGTCATGTTTGATTTATAGAAGCAGAAAAAATGAAATGTGATGGATTTTTTGATTGATTGAATACTTTATTTTGAGCCATACAAAATTATAACATTCTGCGCCATACATTATGCACTGAATCAACTTACATGGGCAACACATGAAGAACAAGACAAAGCAAATAGATACAGGGCGGAACTATTCAACATATATGGGGGAAAAATAGAGTTTGGCTCAAAAAGGAGTGGGAAGAAGAAGACTATGTGCACTTTATTGTCCCCACAGGGAAATATGTCCTCTACATTTGTCCCATCCAGCAAATGTCACCAGGGCAGGCATTTTATGTGGCCTTCTGAGGTAGCCAAATGTAGCCATTGAGGTACTTTTGCAGTGTCATCTAACCAACTTCAGCTCCACCATCAGAGTCATGCTATACCTTCTTGTAAAGCTCTGGACCTTTGGAATCTATTGTTGACTTTAATTGTATATCACAACATTTGTTTTCAGTTGTGCCCAAGTCCAAAGTCCATGTATGGCACAAATGTAGCTGTGGCGTGAATTAGTATGAGCACTTTGTACACCATTCTAAAGCTCAGAACTTTTTAAAGCCATATTAAAGCTCGACCCGAATCCAGTCAAAAGTCCATGTTGTCGGCCCTGGACTTTAGTCTGGTTAACTAAAGTGGCCCTCTTACTCAAAAGTTTGGGAACCCCTTGCACAAGGACATCTATCAGGAGCAGTGGATGCCATAGGCGCCCAGGAATGCTCAGCTTGGTCAGGACCAGAGCTGGAGGTTTGTACATATTGTGCATGTTTTTAGTAATAGGGGAAACCAGAGCATCCAGAGGAAACTTATGCAGAAAGACCCTGTTCTGACCGGGATTCGTACAAGATGGAGATAAAAAAAATGTTGTGCTTTTATTTATTTGAAAGGGACAACGTAAGTCATAAAGTCACCCCGCTCCCATCTCTGTGTGGAGTGAGAGACAAATGCCTAAAAAATAACAATTGTAAACCGCTTTGTGACTCTGGTCTGTGAAAGGCGCTATATAAATAAATATTACATACTTACTTACATAAATAATGACAGCATGAAAGATGCAACCGATCACCGACACATACAGAGTGTGTTGCTAATGGTACTAAACCACTCCTGTCTCTAGTTAAGCTTTTCCCCACAGTGCAACACATACAGAATGAATACATTAAATGAATAGAGTACACACAGATTAGACATTTTGGGTCTACCTGTGGAGTTAGGACATCATGATCCGTGTATTGAAAAACCCAGACCCACAGCGAGATACACTTTTTACATAGAACTTAATAATAAGGTGTCAGTTTATGTCATGGAGGAGTTGCCGGGACTTTTTTCCACATGGTCTTTGAATGCCCCAGGGTTGCTCAGTTTTGGGAGATGGTGTTTTGTCTCTGCCTGTCCTCCTGTCATGCCTGGTGCCCTGGTCTCTCCTGGTCCTGGTCTCTCCTGGTCCTGCTCTCTCCTGGTCCTGCTCTCTTTTGGTCCTGCTCTCTTCTGGTCCTGCTTCCTCCTGGTTCTGCTTCTGAATGTCTTTTCTCAGCTATGGGTGTTTTGACGGCCAACAATGAGGTCTTTGCCACAAGATGGAAGCCCCCCTCACTCACTGTCACACAGACAGGGTGTTATGACATCCACTTCTCCCTACCCCAAGACTTCAAATCATACAGGAAGCTTCCATTCATGCAGCAACCCTCCTCCTCCCCATCACACCTCATCAGCCGGGCCAGCTCTTTCACCCGCCTCCCAGCTCTCATCACCAGGGTTTAGGCTCCGGGGATTTCAATGTAAAACCATGTCGTGCTCTGCCGGGGTCCAAGCACCGAATCTTAATCGCATTTCTCAAACGTATACAATGATGTGATCTTGCAAACATCGTCTTCAAGGTTGTATGTGCAAATGTATGTTGTGTCAGACTAATTGCCGACCAATATTAAATTCTAACAAAACCCCTTTTTGGTGTTTGAGTCGCTCCAGATTGAAATGATTTAATTGGGTCCAAAACACGGCTACAGCTTTCTATCTTAACATTTTCAACAGGAAAATTCAGCGCAATGGAACTACTGCTTTCACTACTTCCCGTCATTACGAATAGCTCTTCTCTGTACTCAAAAAGTAAATACAATACACACGGTAAACACAGATTTTCCCTTTTTCATAAATTACCCCTCTCCACAACAACGTGTGCTACATCACAAGTAGAAATTTCAGTTCCGGAACATACTGTCCAGCATCTATAATTTCCGTTGAATAATCTCCGACAATACCAAAAAACTCTCTACCCATTTCTGCTGATTATTATTTTCCCCGCCATCTCATTCGGAAATAGTCACAACCATCCAAACCGACAACCAACGTTACATCCTCCTATATGAATGAGATATATTTACACGCATGTGGGGAGTGCGGTGGTTATAGCCGGCTTTGCAAACTGCCTCCTCGGGCCATGGCTGAGCTCTCAGACAAACACACGCCACAACGGCATTGGCTTTATCGTCTAATATTGATCGTCTCAGCAGCCGCAGCGGGGATATTCTATGTAGATTCTCCGATGCCCCGGTGTTGAACTCGCAGTCTAATCGGCTCACTAGACACAGAGTGGGAGTTTGGAATACATCCGCGCCGCTAGGAAAAAACCCCGAAACTTTAGAATCTAACAATATTGGCTTCGTGGTCTCGCCCGAGCAGGTATAGGATCATAACAATAACGGTCATTTCACAGAGACGTAAAAAAATTTATAGCTGAGATTGCGCGATGGATAATGTTCTCTGGTGGGTCAGCAGAAGCCCTCGCACTGGGTTTGACCATATTACAGCCGGGGGTTTTGAGGGGTCGGAGATGGAGGAGTGGAGCTCGGGGCCCGTAGGAGCGGCGGGAATCTGATTTGGATTCCGTTCTCATACGTCCAAATCGTGTTATGGTCGGCGGGTGGTGACGGAGCGGAGATGCATGGTTTTCGGGACAGGCACACGGGGGTCCGGCAGCGGAGGGAGCGTCATGGAGACAATACAAAGTGGAGTTTACAAAGACATGTGTGTGTGGGTTGAGTCCAAAGGTGAGGTGTGTGGACTGGATCGTGTTTTCAGGGGGAGTTAGTGTATATAAGCTGGGCTGATATGTCTGTAGTGGTACCATGTGTAGACATTACTGAAACTTTGATTTCTATATCGTTTTCAAATAGAGAGAGAGAGAGAAAGAGTGAGAGAGAGAGTGAGAGAAAGAGAGAGACACACAGAGACAGAGAGAGAGAGAGAACTGAGACTGAGATAAAGAGTGAGAGAGACAGAGTGAGAGAAAGAGAGAGAGAAAGAGAGAATGAGAGAGAGAGAGTGAGAGAGACAGAGAGAGATAGAGTGAGAGAAAGAGAGAGAGACACACATAGAGAGAGTGAGAGAGAAAGAGAGACTGAGAGAGAGGAAGAGAGACAGAGAAGGAGTGAGAAAAAGAGAGAGAGAGATTGAGAGAGAGAGAAGGAGAGACTGAGATAAAGAGTGAGAGAGAGAGAGAGAGAGAGAGAGAAGAGAGAGAGAGAGCTAAACAGGGAAGGGCCTGGTTAGTCCTATGATGGGAGACCTCTAAGAACACCAGGTGCCACAGTGGGGCACCTGGTGCCCCACTGTGGCACCAAAACATTTGTATGGATTTGTGTTTTGCCTTAAAAATAGCACAGTATAATTATAGCAAGTGGTGCACAAACAACATCATCATTATTATGATTTTATTTACTCCCGAAAATCTCAATGTAAAATATGTTCCCTTTCATGCATGAATTATGAAAGGCTTCTTCAAGATTTTTTCCCCAAGTGTTTAAATTACTCTTGAGGCAGGAAAAAAACATGAATTCTCCATGGAGTTGGTGACACGTCCAGTAGAGTGGACAACGTGCACTTGAGTCACGGAATAAGAATACTGTAAACACCATAGAACATTTAGATTTTATCTTTAGCATTGTATTTTTCTTATTTTAACACATTCCCAAACTGTAAAACGTGTTATCTGAAACATTAACAAAAGAAAAACACATTTGTTGCACTGACTAGATGACTGAAATACTGTAATGAACTTGGCTAGTACTAATCAGCAGAGCATTAAGACAAGACTTTCACATCTGCATAGACTTGTACATCAGAGGTATTTGAGTATGACATGACCAAATTAATCCCCAGAAACTTCTTCAGTTCATTTTGCAGTGCATGGAGGTCTGAGTTGACTAGTATATTATCAATCAGCTCTTTCAGAATTTGATGAATGAAGAAATCTATTGGGGCTCCTCCCTCAATCTTCACCTACAACTCTCCTAAAAAAGTAAAGAGTAAATTTCCCCTCAAATTTATAATCTTTGGCTTTGCAGACATGTCTATATTTTTGTGTTATTGAGCTTGGTCAAGTCGGACAGCACCATCTCCCTCAGCCTCTTCATTCACCTGAAAGGCCTCAGCATCTTCTCCTTCTACATCCTCAACTTCACCGTCACAGCTGTTATAATTTCCTAATTGTCTTATGTCTGGTACCTTTCTTCATCATTCACACTAATATCCCTCACTTGAGTCAGATGGTAGTTCCTGGACTGTCCTCTAGGCTTTTCTATTCTGCTCTGGCCCTGACCGCTACAAAACACATGGGAAAGGATCATAATTCATGAGATTTGCCAAATATTCACAAGATATAAAATATATCAAATAATGTAATTTATTTGCAGCCACAGCTGTGTTGAAAAGGAAGTTTTTTTCCAGAAACACTAAAGTTGCAGTAACACTATGTTTTGTATTCAAGATATAGCCGGTGATGCACAACGTCCACTTTGGTAAACACGTGATTCATTGCAATTTCCTCCAAACAGAAAATCAGTACTTGGCTTTTTAAACAATTATACGGCACCTTTGACGTGCACATATTTTTTTTCCTACTAAACCTTCCTAGAATATAATGTATGAACAGATTTTCCTCCTTCACTAAGCACATTTTCTCTTTTGTCTGCCATCTTTTTTTGAGAATATTTTTTTACATTTGTATATTTACCAGGATGTTACCATTATAGTGACTAAAGTGCAACTGTGACTTTAAAACTCACACACGGAAGAAAACAACTATTGTCCACTGTAGTGACCACTCTGCATGAAAGGGTTAACGAACCTGGGACAGGTTTGTTAACCCTTTCATGCCTCAACCAGCGTTTGCTCACACCATCAGTTTATCTGATTCTCCTCCTTCTGTCCTGTCCTGGTTTAGACCTGGTTTAGACCTGGTTTAGAACTGGTTTAGACCTGGTTTAGACCTGGTTTAGTATATTTGCTGCCAGGGAAGTAATTCACTTTATAGCTACTGCAATGTAACCAGTGAGTGTTATAGGTTGAAAATAGGTTGTGTCCATGTTCCAGAATCCTACTTTTTGTATTTTGGGCATGTGTCAAAACAACTCTATGGGAAAGAAGACGTTTTTGAAAGAAATTTTAAAAAGACAATTATCATTTGATAGTGTGATTAGATTCTAAAATTCTCCATATTATTATTCTTATTTAAAAAGTCCATTTTATGGCCAACACTATACAATAGTGTCACCACTTTAAGACACCTTTATGGGAAAATATCTTGACCATTGATGAAACGTGCTGAAAAAGAAGATCTGGAACTTTGAGATGTGGATCGGCCCAGGGAGAAGAGAAATCATCCCTAAACTCAGACTTATGACAGTTACCATAGTTACCAGGACAGATTTTTCAGCTGCCCTCCACCTCAATGTTAAAATATACACTCTTCGGGGTATTGTGATGTCACATGAACGCAACCTTGCAATGCGAACCAGAAAATATGCGTGTGTAACAGTAATAATTTCATTCTGTTTTGCAAAACTCTAGCTCCATATCCAAAACGTGGCCATACACCGCCACTTTGTGATAAAAGCCTCTGAAACACAAAAGGATTGGTTCAACATATTCCGGGGTGATCATTTATACAATCCAACCCAACAACACATCCAACCTCCATTATAACCGGAGCTGTTTGGCAGCCGCCACAGGATTATGTTGTTGTCAGCACTAAAATAAAACCTACCCATAAGTCTCCTGGAGGAGTGGAACAGGCTCAGTGTCAAACCCAAGATAGAAAAACTTGTTTCCTTGGATTTTGTGTCCCTCTTGTTTTAGCGGCGTGTGCTTCCAACTATTCACTTACAATCTCAGGAGTTTTACAGCTCTGCCGACGACTGAATGTGTTAATTGAGTCCATCTTGATTTCGTTTTTTTTTCAAGCCAGATATTCACTTCATGATTGCAATGAAAGATTGCTTATGGAAGAGCAAACTTATCAAACAAAACTTGGATTGAAAAAATATGAATCACTTGTTTCCCTTCTTTCAAAGCAAACCAGGGGTCTCCAACCGGAGAGCTACTTGTATGCAAACAAAGAGGCAGAGAGCTACTACTTTTTGCCGTCGTAATAAAAATCTATTTCATAATGACGACAAAAAATTGAGAATACATGTAAAATACACCATAATACTGTATAACCCTATATCTATATGTATAATGGATTTGTAATGGGTCAAAATGTATTCATTCAAGATCATTTGTTAATTCTATTTCCTTTGGCGAGCTACCTGAAGGCGGCCGGTGAGCTACTGATAACTCCCTGGAGACCCCTGTTTTAAACACTCAATGTTGTTTAAAAGTGATTAGTGAAAGTTTAGGACATTCTTTCTACACCAAGATGTCGTTCATGTCATGGTGTGGATTTTGTGTTATTTTGTACTCCGCTTTTATTTTGACATTATTTCTCTGTGGTTTTGTCTTTAGTTTGACTTCCTGTTCCCTTGTTTGATTGGCTGCGCCGCCCTGATGTGTTTCCCCTGTACCTCAGTGGCCCAATCCCAATACCCACACTGCACCCTACACACCTCTACGAAGTGTGCATTTGTTGGAAGTGCACACCAGGGTTGGAGTGCGCAGGTTACAAGTGTGCAAAAAAGGCGGAATTGGGACAGTGCACACTGAGAGCAGGATACGTCATCGACTCGTCAAGAGATGGTCATTTTCAGACCTAAACTTTATAAACATTAAAGGTAATTTTGTCTGACCCTGTGGGAAACAAAATGAATTGCTTCACACACGTTAAAATACATGTATATTGGTTATTCGTAATTTTAGATAGTTGTGTAATTTTAAGTTAAATGTGGGTAACTAATTGTTATCTGATAAGTTTTTATACATTCTAAGATTATTGTACTAAGTGTAAAGTTTAAATTGAATGTTATATAAACGCTTGCTT